TTGGGTGGGTGGGCGGGCGGGCAGGCGGAAGCAGCCCCCTCTCTCTGTCCTCTGGAAGACCGCAGGGTTAGAGTAATCATTCCTGACTAGGGGGGTCTCCCGGGCCAGGGTTTGCTTTCGGCAGAGATTTTAAATGATAAATTTAGTATCTTCGTCGGTTATAAGTTGTCCGTGGCTTTTCTTCCTTCCTGGGTGAGTTCTGGAAAGTTCCGCTCTGCTGGGCTTTTGCCCGTTTCAGCCTGGCTTTCGGGACACGGGCAGGAGCTGGCGTGTTCTCCCGCTGCCCTCTGCTGCCCCGCGCCTGCACCTCCCGCCTGGTGTCCCCGTTCCTGCCACTGGCCTTGGCCGTTAGTCGCTTGGTCCGTTTTCAGCGGCAGGAGCTCTCGCTTTAGTGTCTTTCTGCCCCTTGTCCGTGTGCCGTCTTCTCTCTGGACTGTTCTGTTCTCTCGTGTCGTCGTCCATCCTGCACGTGTAAGGCTGGAAGTACCCCCGGCACGCTGTCCGTCCGAGTGCGCCCCAGTCTGTCCCGGCCGCTCCCCGCCTGCCAGGTGCTCGCGGGTGCGGGAGGGAGAGGCGGCGTGAGGGCCACCCGCGCACGGGCCGCTCGTGTTTGCCGTCGCACGCCTGCCGGTTCTGCAGCTCTGGCTGCGCCCGTCAGGACACACTTGCTCCCTGTTTTGCTCACACTTTGGTTTCGTCCCTATCGATGTTGGCTCCGCATCTAAGAAGGGTCAGTCTCCCGCTGTGACACATCTGTCCGTGCCTCGTTTAGGTCCGTCAAGTTTTACTCCATCCTTCTGAAAGCGAGTTTGCTACATATGTACAAATATTACATTTTTATATCCTCTTGACGAATTGAACTTTTCATCGTCGCGTAGGGATCTTCTTGATGTCACGGTTTCCCCTTAAATCGGTCACGCCAAACACTGGAGCCGTGTCCCGGGTCTCCTGCGCGGACAGCACGAGGCTGGCTCCGCTGTCCCCTTGTTCCCGGGCCACGGCGTGCTTCGAGGGGAGACTGGCTGTGCCTGCGTGTCATCCCGCGTCATTCGGATTCACGGCTTCCCTCTGATTCTGGGCTGTGTTCACCCCCTTTCTGTGCCTCTTTTTTCTCTCTTGCTTTCTTTTGAGGTGACCAAGGGTCCCCACATCCCAGTTGTCCCCTCTCCTGAGTAAAAAGATACAGCTGGTGGCCGTTTTTCACTCATGAACCTTTGCACATTAATTTGTGTCCCTGACGTGGTCAGTGGTTTACTGTGCCCCACATGGCCAGGGCCAGACTGCTCTGCTGGGGGTGCAGATGACACTCTCGCACAGGGGTCCCCAACCCCCAGGCCGAGGACCAGTATCGTCTGTGGCCTGTCAGGAGCCGGGCCACACAGCAGGAGGGGAACAGCTGGCAATGAGCGAAGCTCCATCTGAATCGGCAGCCGCCCCCCCCACCGCGCTCCGCTGAGCTTTGGTTCTCTCATCACGTGGTAACGTCTTTGTTTCTGACGATGCGGAACGCGCTTGCTTCGTAGTTCGAGGCCGATCGTTTCAGTAACCGCCATCTTGGAGGATCTGAATAAGCTTTTAATTTTCGGATCGCTGTGGATTCCCCGAGAAGTAGCAGAGCTACTCGTGTGTCCCTCACAGTTTTCTCTGCTGTCGCCGTCTTACCTCCGTGTGGGACACACCCCGGGAGCCACCCCGGCCCGCTGCTGATGCCTAAACTCCAAACTGTGCCAAGAGTGGGCTTGTCCCCCACGACGGCCCCCCTCTGTCCCGGGGGCCCACGCGGGACGCACAGCGCCCTGGTCCTCGTGGCCCCTCTGTCCCCTGGTGCTCCCGCAGCTCCCCAGCCTTCCGTCGTCTTCACGACGACAGTTTCGAGGAGCGCTGGCCAGGTAGTTTGTAGACGGTCCCTCTGTTTATGTTTGTCTGACTTTTTTCCTCAAGAAGGGACTGGCCAGGGTTTTGGGGAGCAGGACCCCAGCGGTCAGGTGCCCGCCACACTTCCCGTCCCGGCCGACTGTCCACCTGGCTTACCTGCCGAAGGCAGCCCGAGCCCTCGGCCACATGGGGTGTTTGTCAGGCCCCACCAGGAGGTGGCCTTTCCCCCTCCGTGTGTGCTGGCCGGTGGACGTCACTGCGTGCAGCCCAGCGCGTCCTCCGGGGGCCCGGCCGGGGCGGTGCCAGCTCCATCCGACACCACACCCTGGGTGGCGGTGTAGCTCGGCAGCCAGGTACTTCGCTTCCCGCTGGCCCCGTGTGCCCCTCAGGCAGGCCCACGCCCTGCGGTGCCCTCTGCCCTGCTCCGCCCCCCACCCCGCCCCGCGCTTCCCCGGGGAGTCAGCTTCCCCCCCCAGGGAGCCAGCTTCCTTCCCCGCACTGGTGGGAGAGGCCGCCTAGCTCCCTGCTGCCTCCCGTGCGCGCTGTGGTGCTTTAGGGAACTCGCGCTTCTGGGGACAGAGCTGGCAGGGCTCACTGGCATCCCGGCTTGGGGACGTGTGTCCCACAGGAGGACGGCCGGCTGCTGCGCTGGTCCCGGAGCCCGGCCCTGCACGTTGAGGCTCCCACTCCGTGTTTAGTGCCAGGCAGGTTCTAAGGGGACTTGGTTCTTGACCTCTGCCCCGAGCCACAGATAACACCAAAGCTGCCCCTACCGTGGTGTCTGCCGGGCGCAGAGTCGGCCCGCGTCTGGTCGCCCCGGGGCTATGGTCACTCCGGCCCAGGCCTGTCCCCAGCACATCTGACCTCCTGGGGTCCCAGCCTCCACCGAACCCCGCAGCCGTCCCCTCGCTCTGTCGGCCGGTCCAGTGTAAAGTTTTCTAACTGCTGCTGTTTTCGTGACCTGCTTCGCCCACCACGTTGTGCTGTGGTGGCCACTCTGGCTCGCCCTCCAGCCCCCGACCACACACGGCCCTCGTCGCCCGCTGCTGGTGCTTCAGGAAACTGGGAGCAAAGGTCCCTTCTACAGGGGATTCTGCCCCCTTCCTTCCGTTTACCTTTGCCCGTTACCGGGGAAACGCCACGACCAGGGGACATTCCGCGTTCTCATCTACGAGACCGAAAAGTAAAACTCTGGGAGTTCCAAAAAGTCATGGCTGCTCCCGACCCTACGCCACGGTATAAACAGCGGGCACCAAGCTGGCGCCCCTCCCAGCAGACGCTCCCGGACACGGCGTCGGGTGCTGACAGCCGCCTGACAGACGCGCCTGAGGAGCACGAACTCGCTTCCGTGAGCGTGTAGCGTGTGTGACGGTGCCGGAGGCTTTTCCGCGTCACCGTCTCAGTTAGCAGACGCGGGCGGGAACCCCGTTTTAGTGAGTGCGGGGTCACATGGACACCTTTTACATTCCCCACGTGTTTACCTTTTTTCCAGCTCGATCCTCTTCCAGAAAAGGTTCTACAGCAGAGACCCAATGCGAACGCCGTCCGCTCCATGGAGAAGGTCATTGAAATCCACAGTAAGTCCGGCCAGGCGCCCAGCGGGGAATCCCTCCTGGGGCGAAGTGTGGGAGCGGCCCCCAGCCCCGCTGCGTCCCCAGGCCTGCGTGACAGGCCCCCGTGACAGGTCCCCCGTGACAGGTCCCCCGTGACAGGTCCCCCTTTCAGCGAGCACTCGATGAGCTGGTGGAGACACCCCACAACTGCCAGAGCAGTGCCGTGGGCTCCCACTCGGTCATCTCTGAAGTCATCACCCCAGGTCCTTAGCCAGCCAGAGTGGGATCTGTGTCCCCGAGTCCGGTCTCCCTCTGGCCAGAGGGTCCCAGCCACCCGCAAGACCAGAGCAGGCCCCACTCCTAGCCCTGCCCCTCAGGCAGCAGGCCCGTGGGGCTGACACAGGTGACTCGGCCAGCACACCTCATCTCGGGCGAACTGGCAGCCCCCTGTTCTTGTCACAAAGCTCGGTGTGTCCGAGGTCCCTGGGATGGCCAGGTCGTTGAGACCTCCCAACCAGGGGTGGAAGCCAGGAGTGTGCCTGCGTCCCCTGCATGGCGTAGGCGCCTGTCCCTGGAGCTGTCCCCGGACCTGTCCCTGCTCAGGCCCCCAGTGAGATGCCGCTGCCCGCAAGGAAGCGCAGAGACAGCCTAGCCGGAGGCCCCCTGTGCAGCCCCCACGCTCCGGCCATAAGGGACCACGGCCATCTTGCTGGGGTGGGTGGGGCCCCCTCTGCACCAGGCAACCAGCTTCCCTGGCTCGCCTGCCCGGGAGGCACAGGGCGGGCCCTGCGGGGCCCCTGACGCGCTTCCCTCGTGCAGGCCGGTACTGGCCCTCGCTGCACCGGCTGTCGTCCTCGGTGGCCTCCTCCCTGGTCGAGGCCCAGCAGTGCGAGAACGAGGAGGCCGAGACCGTCACCGCCATGGCTTCTCTGTCCGTGGGCGTGAAGCCAGCAGAGAAGAGGTGAGCCCCGGGCCGCGGAAGGCCTGGCCTTTGCTCTCAGGCCCGGCGCACAGCTCGCCCACGGGGCCCGCCATCCGCACCAGGGCGAGTGTCCGGGTGACTAGATCCCTGCCGCATGGCCACCTCCGTCCAGGGTGCGTCCA